AAGGACAGCAGCAGCCAAAGCTCTCGGGCATCCTACAGCACCATGAGCAACAGGGTCCAGCTGTACAGAACAGTGGGCTACCAGTCACTGTTTTTCCCCCAAAGGGTTGGGTAAGGACTCCTGAAGCCACTCCCTGCTGCTCATAAACATAGAGAACAAAAGGTTACTCCTAATTAGGGAAGCCCAAAGCTGGTGCTTGGGTAAGCGCGTGCTTAACTTGGGTCAAAGGCTGGTGCAGGGCCTTAGTGGGCTCAGTTTTGTTAGGCATGTCTTTAGTAGTCAGAGCCACAAAAAGTTTAGCTGGCTTGCCAAACACTGGTATCCGAGGCTTAAAGAAACCTAGAGTTCCAAGTAAGGCTCTCACCTGGTACTTGGTAAAAGGCAGTGGCAATTGAAGAATAGCATCCACTCTGGCGGGGGAAAGTTCTCTTGTGCCTGGGTGTATAATGTAACTCAGGTAAGAAACTGCAGCCTGTAAATACTGAGGCTTACTGGATCAGGGTAGATTGTGCTGGAAGATGTATGGTAGCCAGATCTGCCTTCAAAATTTGCAAAAACAAAGTTGGGGATTCAGTATAACCTAGGGGCAGCCATGTCCACATGTATTGCTGACCTTTCCAAGTAAAAGCAAACAAATACTGAGACATAGGGTCAACAGGAATAGGAAAAAAAAAACAGTACAGAAATCAATCACTGTACAAGTAGTTCTTGCTTAACAACTGTTTGTTTAGTGACCAAAGTTATGACAGCGCTAAAAAAAGTGACTTACAACCAGTGCCCAAAGTTACAACCATTGCAGTGCCCCCGCAGTCACATGATTGTGATCCGGGCACCTGGCAACCAGCTCACACTTATGATGGTTACAGCACCCCGGGGTCACACGATCACCATTTGCAACCTTCCCAACCGCTTTCAGCAAGCAAAATCAATGGGGAAACTGCATGATTCACTTAACAACTGCCACAAAAAAGTTCATAAAATTGGGTCCAGTCATGTAATGATTTGCTTAAAGACTGCATCACTTAGCGATCTAAATTCTGGTCCCATTTGTGGTTGTTAAGCTAGGAATACCTATAAAACACATAGCACTATGGAGGATGGTAGAAATAGTAGTCACTGGATTAGAGACTACTGGAGGTCATGGAATCACACAGTTATTAATGACCCTTAAATCTTGAACAAACCTATATACAGACTGAGTTTAGGCTTTTCACTGGAAAAATTGGAGTACTACAAGTATATGGGCGAAGAACCCCTGTGCAAGATAGGCTGTGATGAGCTTTGGGACTGGCGCTAGAGCCTCTTGTGGAATACCATACTGAGGTAGACATGGAGGCAGTCTAGACTTAGTATAGATTATAACAGCAGACTTCAAAAGGCCCACCTCAGTAGAATCCCAGCCCCAAAGAATTGAGGGCAAAGCTTGCAGGTCTTCTGGAAGCGCTGTGCTGGAAGCGGTCATAGCAAAAAAAAGAAGAAGCTATTTTGTGGTAATTATCAAAGGGAACATCCAAAATAAGCCCATATGGACTACATTTAATTGTGGCTCCCAGTTTACAAACTTGTCAGGTAAAAGAAAGGCATGTTTTAAAATATAATGGACCAATAGTTTGTTGTTAATACACAGATTTCCTCAACATCAAATCCATTTTTAATTCTTGTAATTTAAAATCAGTTTCCCCTAGGTCAGTGTTGTCCAAACTTGGCCACTTTAAGATGAGTGGACTTCAACTCCCAGAATTCCCCAGCCAGCCATGAGT